CCCCCTCTCCTCCTCCTTGTCTTCCTCCCATCTTCCCTCCCTCCCTCCTCCCTCTTCGCAAGTTCGACTCCGTCCTGTCGTCGCTCATTGGCATGCGGTTAGCATTGCGTATCTTGCGGCCGCACTCGCTCACTCTCACTCTCACTCTCTCACTGTCTCACTGTCTCACTGTCTCTCTCATCTCTCTCATCTCTTTCTCATCTCTCTCATCTCTCTCTCCTCTCTCTCTCTCTCTCCTCTCTGTCTCTCGTCTTTCCGTCTCTCTTCTCTCTCTTCTCTCGCAGGAGGATCCGGGCAAAGAGCCACATATAAAGGACTCTTCACCCCTGCCTCCAAAAAGAGCGCCGTGTTTTTTCCTACCTCGCTGCCCTCCACTTTCCCATTCTGGAGCGCTAGCTTTCGCCCCCCCCCTTGGCCTCAAGTTTGATCGAATCCCAGACTTCTTCCCAGTATCACGCTAGAGGGCCGCGCCTCGTCACTGTGGGAAATTCAGGGACAGAGAGCTCTTCTCTGACATTGCTGCGTGGCCAGTCACAGAAGTTCAAAGAGATCCTCAGCTCAAAGATCATGAAACGCGTTCAAACATATTGCTCACTGTAGTTCATCAATCTCAAATAGGGACCACCTGGAATGAAGTAAGTGCTTTGCGTGCGGGATGCCCAAGTGATTGCGATATCATGTGCCTTGTGGCAAAGTCTACATTGGGCCAATCTTCTTGCAGAAAAGGTAGGGCCATGAGTGAAGACAGCCCAAAGCCTGATGAAGATTTTTCAAATTAGGCCAGCTCCCATTGTGGACATCCGAGTTTGCGGAGTTTGGCTAAGGGTTTTGACCCATAGCCATTGAAAGACGAAGGGGGCATTTTTTTGTCAAGAACAGAGGACAGACACTGGAGTCGATACAGAAGGGAAAGCAAATCAAAATGATCTGTCGTGAGGTCAAATTTGGAAAAGAGTAATTCGAAGCCAAGGACTTGCTTGTTGCTTCCCACGATTGGATGCTTGCCATTCTGAAAGGTTGTGGGCAAACTGATGCTTGAGAAGATCCGGGATATCTGCACATAAACTGAAAGAACAGTCAGTGTGTAGACAGGTCCTAAAACTTCAAGTCTGAAAAATCGAGCTTCTGAACTGGCTCCAGGATTGAGACGTTGGAGTTCCGATGAAACATCTTCAAGTCCTCCAAATATTGCCCTCTGGGACCACGATCAGCCCAAGCTTGTACTTCCACCTTGGATACACGTCAATGATTCTCTACCTTTCACACTGATAGAGTTGAACTTAAATGTTGTGCACGCCTAGGGAAAAGTAGAACAAGTGAGTTTCGCAAAGGACATGGTCAGCTCTTGTTCAAAGGCCTTTGCACCAAACCGCATAGGTTCTTCTGTAGTTTCACAAAAGCTAGGTCCCTCATGGAATTCACTAGAAACAACTATGTCTTTCGCTAACCGTGTCACCCAAGAGGTGTCCCAGAGATCAACTCACTAAAGACAAACACTTACAAACAAGATGTGAATTCCCCAAAGCAGAAGAAACGGAACATCCACAGAACGGTCAACGGGAGTCCATTGTCGTATCTCTCTCGCAATGGCTGAAAATCCCAGGGGCAAAATGCAAGTCGCGGCTGTTGGGCAATGGCCTGGCAGCATTCCATGGCACTTGGATGGCTGGAAGCTTCCCGTTGATCGGCTGAAAGGCAACCTGATTTGGGAAAGAGTCCCAGTCCCACGTTTCACGCAACGGCCAGGGCCCTTCTAGTCGATGTCCCAACAACTGGAATTGGGATGGTCATTCCACCAAAAACAAATCATTCATATTAATTCATTGTATTAATCTATATGCAAAAGTTGAGATAGTTTTACAAACACTCGAATCAAAAACCGCTGTTTGCAGCTTGAAGGTGCAAATCGATCATTGCGCACCACTTTCGACTTCAGGCAAATGAAGCGCTTCTGTCTGGCCACACCAAACTCTTCCGCATGAATAACTCGACCAAAGAGTTCTGTCCTGCAAGTCTATTCTCTTTCATCCGGTAGAAAAGAGAAACCATGGACTTCTGATATGTAAAAAAATATATATATCTACACACACTACAAAAAAATGAATATATAATACAATATATACAATTGCTGTTTCCATTAGACTATACTATACTATACTTGTATAAAATGGACCTCCCACCATGATCTACTTAAGGCCGTTTTTGTGGCCCTGTCAAAAAGACAAGCACCTACACAATACTGGTTGTTCGGCCTACCATGTGGCTATTTGCATCCTGTCTTCATTACTTCCCACAACCACAAAACTCTGGTGCTCACTTACTTGCACAGGTATCAGTTCAACTCTGCTATGAACCTGTTTTGTGGAGGGGATTGACCACTTTGAGATGAAAGCAGGAACGAAGATGTAAGAGAGGGTGCACCGGGTCCACTCAGAGGAGGGTCCACTGGGTCAGGGTCAGGTCGCCTCCAGTTGTGGTGCTGTCGGGCGGATGTGGCGATGTGGCGATCAGCCGCAGCACGTCTTGCATTAACCCTAGCTACCCTGATTCTGCTGGCTGAAAACAGATTCTACATGGTGGGTGGTTGATAAGGTTTGATACACTTGGGCAGAATGCTTAGTTGAGGGTGTGGATCACTCATATGTAGCCCAATACCTTTGTGCGTAAAGGACCACAGCGACTGCAGCGCAAGTGGTCAATTCCCATGCTTCTCGTCGCTGAGTTTTGGGCGGACATTGCCCTCTGGGCTGCAGTCCTTTCCATCTGAAGGTCTGCCAAATGCTCCGAGGTTCTTCCACTGGCGCCTGACACACGGCCCTCAGTTGTTGGAGCCAAGGTCAGACCATGGCAAACACAGGTACAAAGCGATCTTACCGCAATGTAGATGTGCAGTGTTGCTGTTTCATTGAGAAAGTAAGTTGCCTGTATGATTGATGGACAAGTACAAGTCTTCCTGCGCTGGCTGAGAATTCCCTCTTTGATATTCACTCTAGCTCAAATACCCTCCAGTCATCTTAGCTAGCACAGGAAGACTTGTCTCTAAACTGTGCAAGTTTTAAGCACAAGCTAGGACATATTGCAAGCACAGAAATCACCAGGCAAGGCAGTCTTCCCACTGAAGGTAATTGCATTAGCTGGCTATCTTTCGGTGCAGCAAAGCACTTCAGTAGTGAATCTACTAGGGCCACGACAGACAAGATCCTCACGTAGCATCGGTCGTAGTCCCAGGTTCTTCCACGATTCTTACTGCCCCAGATCTTGACCCGACAGCCATGTAAGAGTCCTGGGCCACGCTCCACAGTCACTTCTCCACAGCCTCAAGCGAGAAACCATGTCAGCATGGCTCTTCCGTCCTGTAAATCTCTTGACGGTGCTCTTACTGATGGGCAATTCTGGGATTGCAATTTTGGGCAATTCTGGTTGACCTTTGTGGATTGCAGAATGATCCGGCAAAAGTGGTTTGGGGTCCGGACCGGTTAAGCCTTCATCGATGTGATGAAAACGTTTTTCCTGTCTCCGGTCCACCCTTTGATGGAACCGGCACGGACCCAAACGGAAAGAAGACCGGAAGCGGAAACAAATCACAAACGGTCCATGTTGAACAACCCTCTCCCAAATCAACACGGGTACCTTTTTGGTTGGAGGAAGTTGCTGTTCCACATCCAAACCCCTCTGTTCGCTATGATAAGGATCAAAGCGCCACCAACAGACCGTGCTCCACCACGGTTGTACCATTTTGTGTATCTTTCGCACTGCAAACCAATCACGTGGTGGGGGGTGAGAGGGTGCAGTTCATCTTTAGGTGGGGATGGGGTTCAACCCTTCCACCAGGCACTATTTTTGAAAGCATTCATCTCCTCAACAGACACACGTACTGCCTGCACCAGCACGTCTACTTGAGAAGCCCAGGGACGCTTCTGTGCCTCCACACCGCTCACCACTCGGAACGTACCGAACACCATCATGCCCATGAGCTCTTTCAGAGACTGGACATGTGCTGACCTTAGTTGACTGCTCATGCCCCGTTGGGCGAACGTCCGAGGGGGGCCGACGGGAGGTGAACGTCCGAGGCCCCATTGGAGTCATGGCGGTCTGGTGGAACCCGAAGTGAAAGCCTGAACTTCCCACACATCCATACCCATCTCCACACCTGTCATCCATCCCTTGCTCGTGGAACAAATATATATATATATACTGGTTCGCATTATCGCGTTTTGATGATCTTTGTGGGATGACATGGGATTTATGCACTCCTGACACAACTCGGATAAGGGGAGATGACTTGGTACTCCTGGACACTGACCTTGAAATGGAAAAGGACCTGTTGAACATTTGCCAAGCTGTGAGTCCTTCCCACCGCTGCGAAACAAGAGACTGTCTCTCCATCTGGCCCTCGAGGTCGTTGGGCGTCACAGCGCAGGACGAGGCCATGTCATTCGACATGGGCGGCATCGAGAGTTCTCCTTCAGAGTCACTCTCATGGCAATCCTCCTCGAGGCCTCCGGCTCCCAGGAAAAACACCAAGAAACCCAGGAGTCAAGCCATGTGACCCTCCATCCAACAAACGTGGAACTGGAAGACCTGCTTGTGCTTTCAAGTGGTTCTCCACTTGCATCTTTGTTGGATAGAGTCGGATAGAGGGCAAGCAAGCACTATTCTCGTGTGGGTTGCAAGAATGCCAACCTTAGTATCCTGACTCATCCTGTTCCCAGATTACCATCTTTTGGAGACGTTCACAAAGGGACAGGGAGCTTCATGAATTGGGCAACACGTTGAATGTTTGGAGAAGAAGGGTCTACAAGTCCGATCTCTCTTATAGGTGGTGTTTGAGAAGAGATCTCTCTTCGGTACCTGGGCGGTCAGGTCTCATTCTACAGAATTCCAAAGCAGCTAGAGGATGCGTGGTGTGCCATGCCGTCTTTTTGCAGAAAAAGAACTGCCTGGCTACCCTAGAATCATGTCTTGATTCAAACCTTGCTACACTAAGAACCAGGAGAGTGTCAAAATCAAGGCACACCCCAAAGAAGCCCAAGGTTGGATCACACACGCCGCTGGCCCATCAGCCCATCAGCCGCTTAGGCCTGAGCTTCTCTTCAAATCTTCCAGCAATTGGCCTAACTCGGGTGCTTTGCTGAACTGCTGGCCTGCACCGTGAGCAACTGCTCAGGGAGCAGTTGAAGAGTGCATTGAAAGGTGCAGAAAAAAGAAACGAGAGCGCCATGTTGCGATGTTGCAAACAAATCCACCACCACCACCACCACCACCACCACCACCAAGAAGAATAGAGAAGGACAAGAGACACAAACAAAAAGGCATTGCTGGGCTCGCCTGACCAGCCATGCTGCTCCAGAACGCACTGGAGGGCCTCATTGTCCTCTGCCGCCAGCGCTTCTTCCAGGCCACGTCGCCACTCTTCCTTCCGCTCACTCCGCTGCGATGCCTCCTCGGTCGCAAAGAGTGCCAGGTCGAAAGCATGTGCATCGGCATCGGTCGAAAGCTCGTGCCATGGCAAGGGGCATAGACACAAGTCTTTGGACTCAGGTAGACATGAAGTGCCAAGAGAGTCATCAGGAAATTCATCTGCAAGGTCAAGCTGGAGCAAGTCCATTGATGCAAGACTGCGACCATTGACCGGATGTGGAGCGCGGTCAGAGTCCACTGCGGCTGAAAGTTCATGGCCTCTAGCAGGCTGAGCAAGACCTGAAGTCACGGAAATTGTGCAGGATTTGGGCTGAATGCTGGAAGATGCAGCGGTGCAGTCAGAGCTCTGTAATGGTTCAGGTCTCTTAGAGAGCTGAGCTTTGATGCCTCCCGCTGGCAGTTTAGGTTGCCGAAATCTCAAGCACTTGCTGAGGAAGCG